GCGTTCAGGATTCTTTAAAATTTGTTATTAAGATTGATCCTGCTGCTCATCGTTCTCAACATCTCATCATCATCATCATCATCATCATTATCATCGTCATCGTCATCATCATCATCGTTGTCATCATCATCATCATCATCATCATCATCATCATCATCATCATCATCATCAACAGGACATAAACAGGAAGGAGTAAAAAAGGGTAGAGACTTGTAGAATTTCCTGAAAGTTTTTTTTAATGAAGTTCCGATCAAAGGCTTCACCAGAAACATACAAAAAAATAATGTTAGATCTAATGACTACAATAGCTATAGTAACCATCTTGATCATCATCATCATCATCATGATCATCATCATCATCATCGTCATCATCATCGTCATCATCATCATCCTACCACCACCACCGCCACCCAACCATCATCATCATCACCATCTTGATTCACCCCATATTCTTGCTTCTTTTGCTTTCTTTTCTTTTCTTTGAAATAACAAATATTAGATCTACCATGTTTCCGCATTTTCTACGAATCTTGCAAAACTCCGGCACCGAATCAGTACGTGGGACAAAACAAAACAAAAAAGAAAAAAAGAATGTTGTGTTATTATGTAGGTTTTCGAATGATGAGACGTAGATTTAAACCCCCACTCCAAGTTCAGTAATGTACAACTGGCTTCGAATTCTAAATGTATGAACATCGTGATGGGTTTGAATTATTGTGATTTCTCAGAGATATCTCAGGTACTGTTTGTAGTTACAAATTAAAAGCATTTAGGATAAGTATACTTGGTTAATATGTTAAAACCTGTCTCCCTAGTCTTACAAAGTGTTCGTTATAAGTATAAGGTACCAATGATGGTAAACCGGAGTAATAATCATTAGGGAATCTGCCGAAAAAAAAAAGAAGAGAAGGATGTCAGAATTGTAGAACCTTTCTGCGAGTTTACTATCGATTTCTGTCAGACTTTTTATCAGCGCTGTGTAACATATATATCTGAAGTCTTCATGGATGGTTTAAGTTTTGTTGATGTTGTTGTAATCGTTGCTGCTTTGTTTTTCGTTGATTTTTTTAACAGGCTTGTTTATTGGTATTATTGTTTGCTGTTTGGGTTTTTGTGCTTGTTTTTTGTGTTTTGTATTTGTTTGTCGTCGTATATATTTTGGTACGATTGTTCAGTTGTTGTTTTGTTGGAAATTTTAGATTTTGGTTTTTGTTGTTGTTTTTTAATTTTGTATTT